GTCATTAGCACCTCTAGTAATATATTTACTGAGAGAAATGGTGACGTGTTCAATACTTATTTTACCCACTGTATATAGGGAGCTGGATTTGAAGGAAATGTTCATTAAAATAGGGAAATTATTTCCCTGAAATTTTCCCATTGCAGATGTTGGGTAGTGGGCTGCCATGGGAGTAGCTTGGGGACATGAGGGCCTTGCTCAAGGGCCCAGAGGGATGCATTTTTTGTTGTCAATCTGGGGAGTTGAACCAGCAATCACAGTCTCACCTTCTCTAACCTCTGCCCCACTCTGCTCTACTCAAAGAGCCGTTGCGTAACGCCACAGCCACGTGTTTTTGTGGGACCCCTTCCCTCTCCGAGTTCTTGTTCGCCTATCACAACAGCCGTAGCTTTCCTCCCCATTGACTCAGTGGAATATTAACGAAGGAGCATGTTTAAAAAAAAACACAGTTCACAGTTGTCTGATTTGATTCCCATAATTTGCTTTAAAGAGCTGCTCAAAATATTCAAATTGTTTGTGAACGTCACATCTCAGGTCCAAAGATAATGTGCTCTAAAATGGGAGGAGAAGCACTGCATTGCGTAAAAGAACAAGTATTATTATCTTATCCCTTTTAACTAATTAATAAAAAAAATTAACATTGATTTAATATATATAGCAGGTGTGCAACAATACTGGGATCTATCGAACTGTTCAATACAGTGCTTTAGGTTCTATACACACTATGTATCGAACCATACAGATTTTTAAAATTTATTTTATCAACTTGTCTTCTAAAGATGCTGTGTTGAAGGATCAGTGCATCTGTGTTCGACTACTCCACCTAGACTGCATTGTCGAGCACAGATCCACTGAGAAACTTCTTAGTTTTAGCAACATTTAATTTAAAAACTGTACTTTTGAGGTTAAACAAATGTTCATAATTAATTTCAATAAATTACTAGCTAAGAAGGGTACGGACGTTTCTCTTTTTGGTATCCAAAAAATATTGAACTGAGATACTAAAGTATTGAACCAAACCGTGAATTTTCTGTATCGTTGTGCCCTAAATTTTTTATATATTCAGGGTTGCGAGGTGGTGTGTGTGCCAGTGGTGGGCCGGATGGAAGTCACCCACGGGCTGGATTTGGCCTGTGGGCCATTAGTTGAATAGTGCAGTTAAAGAGGACAAGGATGGAGTTAGAGGACAGAGTGAGATGAAGGAAGATGACTCACCGTGGAGACCCCTAAACAGGGAACAGTCAAAAGAAGAAGAATTTTGAGACTGAGACTAGAAACCGGTGCTCCTTTAACGCAAGCAAATTAATCTTACATTATAATTCACTACGATGACATCTTATTTTATCAGAAACCTTCAGACACAAGCAGGCTTGTTTATAAATCATTTATTGTTATTTTAATGAAGAGTTTCAACTTGATTTATTTGTTTCTGGCTGACTGTTTGGAGGATCAGTGGGAGTACGGCAGCCTGAGGCCTTCACCTTCCTGGCAGAAACCTGAAGAGACTGTAAAAAAGAGGAAAATCAGTTTTGTTTTTAATAATTTAAGCTGAGCAGTTTATCATGATGACAACAAATCACCTTTGTTAGGATCATAGTGGTAGTCCGGTTCTCTGGAGAAGCCGAAGCAGCTCGCCTGCTTCTTGAAATGATCCAGATCCGAGTCCTTTACGGTCGACTCCGGGCCTGGAAACAAAACGARAGCAAACATSGATGATTTTTGTTTCTGATGAGTGACGTTCCACTTCCTGACAGAGTCCGCCCTACCTAAAAAATAAAGAGCGTGAGCGTGGAACTCCTCAGTGTCTGTGGGGTTGTGGAGGTTCATGACTTTAAGGAGATGCTTGATGTTTTTGGCTGTGCTGTTGATGCTGATGGTCAGGCAGCCCTGACAGCTCGGCAGCACGTGAAACACTGCGGTCACGTTGGGAACTGAGCACAAACGGAAAAAAGATCAAACAAGAAAGAACAGCACGAACAAAACTGAAAAACTGAATTACAGAAACTCAAATGTTCGTGGAGACTCACGCGATGTCGTCGCAGCGAAGCCTTCCACTGTCACCCTCGCCTTCGAACCGAGGCAGGTTCCATTTCTGCATCAAACATCATACTTTTCTTCTCATTTTATCAATTTTCAGAGGAAAAAAAACACATAATTTTAATGGTATTATTTTATGGACTCACATTTTATTTTCCTGAATCATGATAATCTCAGAGACGTTTGTCGGCGACGCTGAGATTTTCACCCAGGAGCTGTCGGTTGATTTAAGGATATTTTTAGAAGCCTCGTGATTCGTGTATCCCACCAGGAAGTTCAKTCTGCCATGCAGCTGCACACAAACAATGGGTAATACAGTAAATCTGACCATAGTCACCCTCCTGCTGCCCTCGGGTCAAACAACCAAGTCTCTGTTAAAACTGAGGCCTTGTGGCTCATTTTGACTAAAGGGCAGCAGGAGGGTTAAACCATTTTCATTGTGTAATTCTTTGTTCTACATTTTGCTTTTGTAAATCTGTCAAAAAACCAGGAAGAAGCGGGAGGTTTACCACAGARGGGTCGGCCAGAGACACGGGCGTGAGCAGCGCCTGGCATTCCTCGGGCGTCGGAGCCGAGCCGCTCAGAAACACAGACGCCGACAGGAGAAGACAGCTGAGCCACAGGTTCATCGTTCTTCAGAGGGAGTCTGCGACAAAAACAAGAGAAACTCTGGAGCTGTAACTTCTCCACACGCTTTAGTTAAAAACTGATGCGGCGAGCTGAGTGGACTTTAAACAGAGTTATGATGTTTGGGTTGTTTGGTTGTTGCACAAGATAGGGTTTTAGTTCATTCTTTTCTGGTGATGTTGTAATGGGGCGGTTGGGTTTGTGCATCGATTACCCCCTGTTTTATTTATTCAACCTTTGTGACTGGGGCAGGAGTGAAGTTTCTGAGGTTAAGATCTGCAACATGATGAGGATGATTGTTGGGATAAATGGTTTGGGATTGTCAAAACTGTCCTTGTTATGACCTTTTTGTTTTTGGTTGTTTTTTATGTGCATATGTTTTATGTTTTATACTGTATCATCGTCAGCTCCTCAGTCCTGCCACGCCCCCTCACACCTGTTCTCCATCCCATTTACTATCTCCAATCTTCTCAACAGCTTTTTTTTTACCCAACACTGGTTTCAAGTGAAACTGTTGCATTTCTAGTTAGTAGTTAGGAGTGATCAGGACTCTGTACCACAGAGCAGACAGTGTCCCTACAAACACAGGAGCCAGGGAGAAAGAGAAATCACACACAAGACAGGCTCTGGAGCAGTGCGGTTATCCTAACTGGGCTTTTCTGAAAGCAGACAGGAAACACAGACAGGACTTCTGCCAGACAGTTTACACTCATCTACAG